GGTGAACATCTCTATGTTGATCATATCTCTATATGATTCACATTCGACCTTTTGGTCTCCAGTGGTTCGAGGCCATGTCTGTACATGCTAGGCTCATCAAGTTTAACCTGCGTATTCCGCATGTGCAAAACTGTCTTGCACCCGTTGTATGTGAATGTAGAGCTTATCACACCCAATCATCACGTGGTGTCTCAGCACGAAGAACTGTCGCAACGGTGCATACTCAGGGAGAACACTCATACCTTGAAATTTAGTTACGGGATCATCTTATAATGCTACCGCCGTACTAAGCAAAATAAGATGCATAAAAGATAAACATCACATGCAATCAAAATATGTTACATGATATGGCCATCATCATCTTATGCTTTTGATCTCCATCTCCAAAGCAACGTCATGATCTCCATCGTGACCGGCTTGACACCTTGATCTCCATCGTAGTGTCGTGGTCGTCTCGCAACTATTGCTTCTAAACTATCGCTAACGCATAGTCATAAAGTAAAGCAATTACATGGCGTATGCATTTCATACAATAAATAGACAACCATAAGGCTCGTGTCGGTTGCCAGTAACTTTTACAAAACATGATCATCTCATACAATAACGTATATCACATCATGTATTGACCATATCACATCACAACATGCCCTGCAAAAACAAGTTAGACGTCCTCTACTTTGTTGTTGCAAGTTTTATGTGGCTGCTACGGGCTTCTAGTAAGAATCGTTCTTACCTACGCATCAAACCACAATGGTGTTTCGTCAAGTTTGTTGTTTTAACCTTCAACAAGGATTGGCCGCACTCAAATTTGATTCAACTAAAGTAGGAGAAATAGACACTTGCCAGCAACCTTTATGCAAGAGTAGTTGCATGCCTGTCGGTGGAACCGGTCTCATGAACATGGTCATGTAAGGTTGGTCCGGGCTGCTTCATCCAACAATACCGCCGAATGAAAATAAGACATTGGTGGTAAGCAGTATGACTATCACCGCCCATAACTCTTTGTGTTCTACTCGTGCATATCATCTACGCATAGACCTGGCTCGGATGCCACTATTGGGAAACGTAGCATGCAATTTCAAAAAAAATCCTATGCTCACGCAAGATCTATCTAGGAGATGCATAGCAACGGAGAGTGTAGACTGAAAGCAGAAGCGTTTGACAACGTGGTAGATGTAATCGAACTTCTTATCGTTCCGACCGATCAAGCACCGAATGTACGGCACCTCCGAGTTCTGCACTCGTTCAGCTTGATGACGTCCCTCGAACTCTTGATCCTACAAAGTGTCGAGGGATAGTTCCGTCAGCACGACGGCGTGGTGACGGTGATGGTGAAGTGATCTGCGCAGGGCTTCGCCTAAGCACTACATGAATATAACCGGATGCATAAATTGTGGAGGGAGGCGCCGCACACAGCTAACAACTGTTGATGTGTGTTCTAGCGGTGCCCCCCTCATATATATATATAGGTTGGAGGGGAGGAGAGGCAGCCAAGGGGGCGCCCCAAGTAGGAGGAATCCTACTTGGGTGACTCCCAATTCGGCCTCCCCCCTTCCATATTCATCCGGAGGGGGAAGGAAGGAGGAGGGAGGAGAGAAGGAAGGGAGAGGCCGAATTGCTCCCCTTCCTTTCTCTCTTCCCCTCTTTCCTTCCCCCTTATTTTTTCCTCCCCCTTTCTTGGCCCATTAGGCTCATGCAGTTGCCGGGGGGATGCCCGAAACCCCTTCCAGTGACCCGATATGTACCCGGTACCCCCGGAACACTTCTGGTGTCCGAATATCATCGTACAATATATGAATCTTTGCCTCTCGACCATTTCGAGACTCCTCATCATGTCCGTGATCTCATCCGGGACTATGAACAACATTCAGTCACCAAATCACATAACTCATATAATACAAAATCGTCATCGAACGTTAAGCGTGTGGACCCTACGGGTTCGAGAACTATGTAGACATGACCGAGACACCTCTCTGGTCAATAACCAACATCGGAACCTGGATGCTCATATTGGTTCCCACATATTCTATGAAGATCTTTATCGGTCGTACCGTAATGACAACACATGTTATTCCCTTTGTCATCGGTATGTTACTTGCCTGAGATTCGATCGTCGGTATCTTCATACCTAGTTCAATCTCGTTACCAGAATTCACTTTGCTTGCAAGGCTTATTATGATGTGTATTACCGAGAGGGCCCAGAGATACCTCTCCGATACTCGGAGTGACAAATCCTAATCTCGATCTATGCCAACCCAACAAACACCTTCAAATATACCTGTAGAGCATCTTTATAATCACCCAGTTACGTTGTGACATTTATAGCACACAAGGTATTCATCCGGTATTCGGGAGTTGCATAATCTCATAGTCAAAGGAATATGTATATGACATGAAGAAAGCAATAGTAATAAAACTGAATGATCAATATGCTAAGGTAACGGATGGGTCTTGTCCATCACATCATTCTCCTAATGATGTGATCATGTTCATCAAATGACCACACATGTCCATGGTTAGGAAATTTAACCATCTTTGATTAACGAGCTAGTCTAGTAGAGGCTTACAAGGGACACAGTGTTTTGTCTATGTATCCACACATGTATCAAGTTTCTGATTAATACAATTATATCATGATATAAGGAAATATAAAATAACAACTTTATTATTGCCTCTGGGGCATATTTCCTTCAATAATTTATAGGTGGCTATAGCGGGTCGACCGACTTGGAGGCCAAGCTTTCCTATGGCCGAGGAGACATGAGGTGAAGTCCTCATGTAACTCTGCCTCATGGCTTGCCCCCCAGGCCACCTTGTGGCACCCCATAATTAGGCCTTTAAGGCCCATGTGGGTATCACCCCTTGGGTCAGCGGGTTTAGACCACTAGGACCCTTCGAAAGGTTCCGAACGTTTCCAAAAGGTTCCACAACCTTCTTGGACAATCTCAAATGCTTTCCGAACTCCCGAGACCTCCCACGGCACTTATAGGATCATTTGAAACACTTCTGATGTCCTTCTCTCATTCTCCTATGATATTCTAGTTTTCCTAAAAAACAGCAGTCGTTAAGCGCGTGACCCTGCAAGTTTGGTAATGTGGACATGACCTAGAACATCTTCTCGTCAATAATTAACATCGGGATCTGCACACCCATGATAATTCCCACATATACAAGAAGATCTTTACTAGGTGAACCTTTTGTTACCACATACACTTCCCTTTGCTTCGCAGTACATTTACAAAACCTGAGGCGAGACAGTATTTCCATGATCAACACTTTGATCACTATACCTGTTATCCTCCTTACCAGTTTTGTTCTCTTTCTCATTTCCGTATTTCAGTATCCCCATGATAACAATCACATTTGTTTCTGTCAGGCGATGTTGGGTAACATTATACCGAGTGGGCCCGAAAAGTACCTCTCCATCATCGAAGGAGCAAATTCCAGTCTTGAACCATCGAGAATCTTGACATACTTTTTTGGTATACCCATAGCTACATTTAACATAAAGTAACCATCCGGTATGAAGGTCCTACGATATTCTTATGGTCTAGGTACAAGAGTAAACGTTAACACATAATATGATAATACCAACAACATAGTGACTATGTGATCTCGCAGTATATCATAAGTTGGGTCCATCGAACACCATTATTGTGCGGGGGAGACTAGAATAGAATCTGCCCTTTAAGTGAGATTGTGGGATCAACCAAAAAAATTCACATTTAGACAATCCAAAAAAATCTGAAATTATTTGTCAACATACATGTGATGTATATCTACAACTTCAAAATACATTAGCTCAAAACTCGGTCTACAATTGGAGATACAAAAATGACAAGTTCAACTGTGAATAATGTCAGCTTTGGGTGGATAGTGTGTCACTGTTCACATTCAATTTTGTCTTTTTTGTTTCTCTAAGTGTAGTTTGAATTAGGAGCTGAAACTTTTTGAGATCGTACATCAAACATGGATGTGTGTCTCCAAATTATTTCAGGATTTTTTAACATGTTATGTATCTTGAAAAAGATTGATCTCATTGATCTCACCTAAGGGGAAGACTTGTATAGGATCAGCCTTTTAGGTGAGATCGTAGGATCAACTCAAATATTTCATATTTAGACCATCCAAAAAAATCTGAAAAAAAATGTACAACATACCTGCGGGGTATGTCTACAACTCCAAAAAAATCAGCTCAAAACTCGATCTACAATTAGCGATTCAAAAAAGACAAATTCGATTATGAATAGTATCTACTTTGGGATGAATAGAATTTGATACTATTCACATCTGATTTTGTCTTTTTTGTTTCTCTAAGTGTAGTTCGATTTGGGAGCTGAAACCATCAAATATGGATGTATGTCTCCAATTTTTTTCAGAATTTTTTAACATGTTTTGTATCTATCTTCAAAATGATTGATCTCATTGATCTCACCTAAGAACAGATCCTATACAAGTCTTCCCCCCATTATTGTGCCAACAATGCAATGTGTTCTTATCCGGTATGAAATCATGGAAGCTTCGATTGGTCTTTCCGTGACTTAGTGGCAATTTGTACGTCCCAGAGCTTAGCACACGGTGCGACGAACTAGTACTTTACAATGTAAAAGCGTGATTGCATGACTACAGAAGTACAGAGCCCTCCTGTCTTTCAATTTCATTGCACATACATGTATAGCGAGGAATTCCCAAGAAGGTTCTGTCAAGCAAGACTACAAATTTTCGATCCTACAATCCACGTAACCACGGGCTCAAGCATATGAGCCGGCTGGGAACTACTCCCTCCTTCCCAAAATGTAATACTACCATATGATTGTCTCAAAAATGATCTTATATTTTGGGACTGAGGTAGCACGTCAAGTAACATAAACGGATGCAGTTTGTCAGGAAAAAACTAATTAATCAAACATAACTTGGTCCACACTGCCGGTAAAAAAGCTGAAGATCATCTGCTGCTACCCTGGGACTACTTGTCAATCGATGCTGTTGCCGTTGACTTGCTACCAGTATTGCCCTGGTGACCTGCTGGAGAAGGCTTGGGATCGTGAGTTGGGTGCTGAACCATTGTGGAGACGTCTACCCAAAATCTCATCAAACATCGCATTCAGAGCATGACCACTAGCTTGACGATCTGAAGTGTACTCCCCTCTGCGCTGCTGGCTCTGGCGTCGAGCAGCTGCCTGCCTGCCTGAATTGTACCCCTGTGGCTGTGGGCTATGAATTGATCTGCTTCCTGTTGATCCTTGGGCTCTAAGGCGATGCTGATTATCGAAAGGGTTAGCTGCCAAACGTTCCAGAAATCCTCTGAATCTGTCCTCCTGAAGGGTCGTCGCAGGAGTAGCGTAACGGCCAGCCGTGGCTCTTGCACCCAGTTTAGAACCAACTTCAGGCGTACACAGCAGCGAAAGGAATTCATTCCGGTCAACAGGCCCATCAGAGGAGACAATATTTTTAGCATTTTTTAAGGCTGTGGCAATATCATGAAGCCCTAGCACATCAACTGTTCTAGCTGCATTATCAAGTCTCTGAAATGGATCTTCAACCTAAACAAGAAGAAAAAAACAGTGTACATGTGAGGCTATTTTTTAGACATTTACGAATATAGCCACCAAATGTGCTATGAAGGGAATACTTACAAACAAGTAGCAAGATTTGGTCATCCAATATAGGCCGCCTTGTTTTCGCTGGAGCCGGCCCATGTAAGTGGATATAACATGATCACTAGAATGGACACCTAGACGGCAAAACTGCAAACGGTATTGTATATCAGCCGAATGGGCATCACTAGATTTTTTTATCTCATGTTATGACAGTGCTACAATTTTGAATAGTACAACTGCAGCATTTTGACATTGTCCATGTTATGCCTTTTTCGAATGAAAATTATTAATACCAAATCTCATCACAGTACTGCAAATACATACGGCAAATAGTGCACTTCACCTGAAACTCAAATGTGCTTGTTAACAAAAATATCTTGAGCTAACAAAAATGAACACATTTTGGTTAGGTAAGTGATTAGCTGATTTCCCCTCAAAATTGTAGTTGGCAAAAAGGTTATCTAATTAGGTTGGCCTAAGTACTTATAAGTCATAACCCCAGTAGGAACTGTATGCGCTTGACCAAACTCAACTAAACCATTTAAGAACATGTGCTTTGCTTGAGCTTCTCTCTGGATAAGACATATAAACCTATTAGCTAGCGCCCAAACATAGGCAACTTCGGATGTGTTTCGTGCCTAAGCAATTCTAGTCTTAGCTAGATAGGAGAGTTATTGGATAAAAACAAAATAACTAGCTTTGCTGTTCAATCTAGACTGCATGGGCTAGAAAAGCCTTGACCCAGTAGGAGGGCCAATTTGGCTCTCCTCCGTCGGCAAGATAATGGCCACTGGAATTGTGCTTGGACATGGAGGTTGTTAGCTGAACCAAATATTTGCTTTGCTCGTGTAAGCTATAGCTCAAAAGCCTTGTCTCCTGGGCATGAACGGCGAAAGATCCAAGCGCACCCTTGTTTATCACTATGCTAAGTTTATTATGGTATGATGGTGAACATCTCAAAATAAGACAAAAGGTGGCCCAAAAATATGGCAGCCAAGGGCTACAACATAGGCAGAAGAAGATGTGCTTCGAAACATGAATATCATATTTACCATTCTTTGAACAGCATTTAGAATTTAGAATTTAGATGGCGATGACTTAGTCAATATAGCGGACAATAAGTTCAATTACCTTCTCAAAGAAAGTTGCAAGGAGATGAGACAGAGAGCTCTGATTCCTTTGCCCTATGTCCCGGCGTCGAAACTTTGCTATACTTTCCGCACACATCTCATCAAGATTTTTTTCATTATAAGGCCCACTTTCTGCATGTGAACGCAAAGGGTAAATTACCAGCACCAATACACGGTACACCAGACAATCTTTAGTCTCACAAACAATCCAATTTCATCTCACCTGCTGAAATGTTCACATCTAAAAACTCATTCATAGGTGGTAAAATCGCAGGCTTACATGTCTGCAAATGCAAGATTAAGAGCATGACATAAGCTGTTCAACTTTGATAAAACTGTTGATAAAAAAATAGGTGACCTCTAAATTGAAAAGGGCACCTGAAAATGAAAGAGTACAAGTAAGCAAAGCGAATAGGAGTTGAGGGTTCCATCTTTTGGATCGTTGATGTTTTGAGCTTTTGCCCATTCCTTGACCTGCAAGAAAATATGGTACTAAGCTTGAGCTGAACTAAGAAATTGTTGGAAAGAAAACTATCTCTTGGGTACAAAGAACTTACCAATAAAACCATATCGCCAAAGCGGCCATCTAAAGTATTGATCCAGTACAGCACTTTGGATTTAAGTCCACCAGGGTAGTTATCAATGGATATATCACAGGAAACACCAAAGTGGTTGCTCACATACTGAAGAACTGGAACTCTTGCAGTAGGAATGAAGTTCACATCTCTAGAAACACCTAAATAAAGTATGGGAACAGAATTTAAATAAGAATCTCCCGTAAAAACTGAAGGGAAAGAGGGGGGGGGGGGGCAGCCCGGTGCATGTAGCTCCCGCTTGCACAGGGTCCGACCACTTTGGGTCTATTGTACACAGCCTTTCCCTACATTTCTATAAGAGGCTGTTTCCAGAACTCGAACCCGTGACCTCATGGTCACAAGGCTCCCCTTCAATCTCTCGTAAAAAATGATCTCACAAAATCTAAATGAGTCCAGCCACACAGATAGCAAAAGGTATTGCATTCAAACAGGCAAAGCAGGAACATGGTTGCCTGAGAAGATTTATCTGGATGTCGGAAGCAACCAAAAAACAAGAGGATGCTCTCGTGTCTTGAATAGAATGATCAAACATATACATGATTAGAGTACAAGACGTTCCGTTATGGACACAGGTGCATGGATTTAAAAGAAGTTACCTCTAACTTCTAAAGCTCTCATTAGTTCTCCCAAGAGACTTTGCTTCTTTTCCTTGCTTGTAGGGAAGCCTAAGACATTTGGCAGCTCAACTGATACATCCAAATCACCTGATTTTGCGTAAAGTTTTGATAAAAAGGATCCAAAAGGTTTGACAGCAGCATCTGTTAAGGGAAATAGGAAAAGTAAGAAAACCATACTAGTAATAAACCTCTCAACACCTCCTAGAAATTTAAATAACAAATGTGTTGACTCACTAGGCATAGTATAACAAAAGAATAAGAACAGTAAAATGGTATGCCGTTTGAGCAGCTTCCGTATGTCAGTCATTGAGTAGCCAATGCTTCCCACTTACAGCACTCACAGTAGGAATATTGCCAGTAATTTGACACAAACCAGACTTATCCACTTTAGGGTTATACGGATTTTACAGGATTGTCACTTATTAGTGTTTTCATAGAATGCAAATGTTACCCAGAGACCACAACCTATATAGTCCGTTGAAGGGGAAAAGCCTTCCTGGAGATCTTTGATGAATACGAGTAACGGAAGTTGCAATAAAATGTTCGGATGGGGGTCTATGTTAAAGTAATCTACGAGGAATCTACAGCATGTGCAAGAAGGGAAAAAATTTTCCTTCCATAATTTATATAATTAAGTACTAGCCAAGCTTTATGTCAAACAATTACAACACTGCACCCTTTATAAATATCAGGATTGCAAGTGGTTGTTTCCAAGAGATGGAAAAGAGCCATATGGTAACCAAACAATGAGAAGTTACCTCCCAAGCGACCAACTAAATAGATGGAATCCACAATCTCCTGAATTGCGTGCAGTCGTTTGTTCTGATCGGCCTCTGTTGGCTTGATTATGGAGAGAATATCTTTTGTACACTTCTCCAGCACATCATAGTTTTGGACGAGCTCAACCATGCTGAATCCCTGCAGAATAAGTTACATATATAATCAATAAGTTAAAAGAGTACAAAATAGCATTGCCTAAGCATTATAAATCATTTATAACCAAATATAAATTAAGAACATCCCTTTCTCAACTATGCGGAAAAGCCTCGTGCCTTGATGTGTTGATAGAATAAAAAGGTTTATGTACAAGACTAAAGGTAGGCAACACCCACTGACAATTTATAACGAAATATAAATTAAGAACATTCCTTTCTCATCTAAGCGCAAAAGCCTTGTGCCTTGATGCGTTGATAGAACAAAAAGGTTTATGTACAAGAGTAAGGGTAGACAACACCCACTAACAATCGGACATGGCATTTCAGTGGCGGAGCCAGCCGGACTTTGGAGCCTGGGCAAGCCTGACTATGGCTACGTGAGTAAACTTTTGCCAACCAAACACCATCTTCAACCTCTAGGATCACACCACTTCTCAGCGGATGATCTCTGGCCAAGCCTGGGAAGCTGCCTGGGGTTGCCTGGAGGTGGCCCTGCCACTGATTGCAGTTACCCCTTAGGGTATTGCTAGAAGTCCCGCCAAGCAGCCTGTAGCACACACACGTGCTTTAGATTGGATGGGGAGCGTCAAGCATTCGACATTTGGCTGCTTGCCTTCAAAGGTGTAAGCCCTCCGCCGCTTCCAAATCAACCACTTCGGAATATTCAAACATCATCAAACCTTATCGGTTATATAAAGGAGGATGTTTGCCCTGGTTTTCATTTGCACATATTTGCTCTCAACAGAATATAAATGAAAGCATGAAGCTATTTTCTCCATGAAGTATTCTCATGTTTATTAAAGGTTTCTTGGTCAGGGTAATTGCTCTGAGGGATTGAGGAAACCAAACATATTTGTCTCTTCCTAAAAATAGAACATGTTGAGACTTGAGGCAAGGCAGACCCGAAACCGAGAACTTGCACATAAGAAAATTGCAGCTATAACTGATCTTGTTGACACCTTCCGTCAACATTTATTCGTGCAATGCAAGAAGACGATGCGACTATGAATGATAGCAGATCAAATCCAAACCAAACGTACTAAATAGCACATTTTCCCAGTGCCACGAGTAATTTGGTTGGTAAGGACGTATTTCCCCCCTGTTCAGAGATTATAATTTCTTAATAAAAGATCCCATCGTATATCACACAACGGCCTCCACAGTATGCACCACACGTAGTACCACGGCCGGGTCAAAGTTGTAAGCAAGGGCCGGAAATGGCGCGGTGGCCGTCAAGCAACCAGAGTCCAAGCCTCCCCCAAAGTTTCACAAAACCCTCGAACTCGAAGCAAAATGCATCGCCTCGTCAGAAGTCAGAACAGCGGGGCGCCGTATTCCGGCCGTCAAACAACGCACGCCGCCACGCTGTGCGCTTTGTCGGCGGCCGGTAAACCCTAACTCGGCGATCAAGGGAACCCGCCGACGGATTAAGCGGTAAACCCGATGTACGGACTAAACCGGAGAGGCCAGGGGTTTACCTAGATAAGGTTGCGTAGTATGGAGGGGAGTCCGGTGAGGCGACGGGCCGGCGGCGGCGTCGGCGGCTACGAGGAGGCGGCAGATGAATGCGGCTGCGGCGGGGCTAAGGTTCGCGGAGGTGGAGTGGGAATGGGAGGAAGGAGGGGCGAGATCATCGCGTCGCGTGTTGGCAGAGCCGCGTCAGAGTGGTTTCTTTATTGCGGAGAAGCCGGGCTGCGAAGCGACCACAGTCCACTTCTTCAATGAGCCACACGGAGACCGGATTTTGTTGGCGCAGTACCACACTGGGTACCGGGCTTTTGCGACTTTTTTTTTAAGCATCAGTACAGACACAGGCGCTCATATACATGTGCATACACTCATCCCTATGAACGCACACACGTACATTCTACCCTTATGAGCATCTCCGAAAGACTGAGCTGGCATATCATCTTGAGATTTACGAAGTTACCGTAGTCGCCTCGTCGTCGACGGGAACGTCTCCTCCCACTGAAAACGCATCAAATAAATCCAGAAATAATGCGAGCACCATGATTTGAATCCCGGTGGGTTGGGGATACCACTGTCCACCTAACCATCTCAACCATAGTTGGTTCGCTTTTGGGACCCATTTTGAAATAAAGGATTTTCGTATGCTTTTCATTGTCTTCTTTTATTTAACACAGGCGCACATACAAAACGCACGCACGCATCTCATGAGCATCTTAAAGAGACCGAGCCAACACGTCATATTGAGATTGACAAAATCGTCCAGCAAGAAAAAAATTAATAAAATTATCACATGTGTCTTCATAGTCGATTGAAACATTTTCTTACATTGAATGCATGTCATCAAATGGCCTGAAATAAATTTAAAAAATATGACCACCAATATCAAATTTAGGACTTGGTTTCACATGAGGATCCTAATCCTCTAAGAAACGCTCAGTTCACGCTTTATATTGTCATTGTTATTATCGTGAAAATCTGACTCAAATTCGATACACTCTGAACACCTGACCGCATATATCTCCGTCTTGCATAGATACTTCATACATACCGATTCATGTTGGCCCTTCTACCACACAATTTACCTTACTTCTTTAAGTTCTTCTTTCATGTTCCTCTTCTTTATTCGGTTAACTCTTGCTCCTTATGTTCGTGCATCCTTGTAGGTCTCTTCTACCAATCTTTCTGTAGGCTCGTCATTGCCATAAATTGTGTTCTTTGCTTGTTGATCTATTATGTCTTTTCTGTGCTTTTGTCATGTGGGATCGTTCCGAGCAAAGCTTGTTGGTTTAAAGTTATAGTTTCAAAAGTATCTCTTGCTTTCTGTCTTTTTGTGCTGGTATTTCTTCACCATCCGCTTAGAAATTTTTGTACCTATCATTCTTTTCTTGTAAATTAGCGAAATTCATACCATCTGGTGGAAAACACGGCTTTACCATTTGTTCTACCTAATGATATGCGCCGCTCATCCTAAATGGACTAAGCGAGGGCCAACAACATGTCCGGCTCGAGCTGAGGGGCACCTTCATTGTCGTCATCGTTCGAGGCGGCGACTGCCGCTACGGCCCCTGTGCCGACAATGGCGGCTGGCGCCTTGGCTCTATCGGTCGCGTTCTGTGCGATGTGGGCGACGTAGGTGCCTCGGCGCGCCAACACTTGGCGATCATGCTCGATGCGCGAGCAGCGTGGCAGCAACACCAAGCATATGCAACAACTCCTCTCGCAAGTCGATGAGTTGTGGCATGGCGGAACCATTGGTTTTGTCGGCGGTGGGGGCGATCTCGATGAGGGAGAACATGGAGCAAGGGGAGTTTTATACCATGGGCGAAATTATATTATTTTTCGACCAACCGCTTGACGTGCTTGGGCGGCAATCCTCGGCGATGCGCGTGAAAGTAGGCATTGGTGTGCGCATTGTGCAGTTGTGGCACCGACACATGGTGATCAACAAAAATTGGGCGGCACGGTCGGGAACCCAAGAGCACCGGCGGGAATCAGATCAGTACAGTCTGTGCCTAGCCCTTCCTGCACATGAAAGAGAAGACGCGTGGACCGACGGTCGTTCTTATCCATTTTGCAATAACACACACAAACATTTTGTTATTAATGTGAAAACTATATCGTACACGATTTCTCAGAATAGAATCACCCAAATATTAACGCACACAGTTTACGTAACAAAACAGTGTGTGTACTTCATCTCACACATTTTTCAAACAAGCTGTGGGCGACAGGTGAACTCACTACACACAAATTTGTTTGCCAAATAGTGTGCAATACATTGCACACATCATGACAAATGCTTAAGCTTTTTCTAAGAAACAAAAAAAAGGAAAACATGTAAATGATAATTAAAAAACAGACAAAGTTGGAACAAATAGCACGTTAGGAAAAAAAATGAACACAAACCAATTTGTGGTTGGATGGTTGGGAGGACGGTGATATCTCAACTCACCGGGATTCAAGTCCTAATCTTAACACTGATGCTCGCATTTTTCCTAAAATTTTAGACATTTGGCGATGAGTGTTTAGTGGGAGGGTAGACGTTCTTATCGATTACCTAAAATGTCGCACGGAGCAAAGGTCACTCCCCACATCTTCTCAACCTGGGTGTTTTTTCTAATTTGTTTATTTAAAATGTTTTATCTTTTGAACTGTACGTCAATCCCGAACTGTTTTCATTGTTGAATTTCTTGTGTTGAGATAGCACTGTTCAATTTTTGCTCTATTTAGTTTAAGTCTGTCTACACAACATCTATTCCTTTATATTAATTTATATCTAATGTTGACGTCTTCCTATGTAATGTATTCAAACTAGATTATGAAATAAATAAAGATCCATGAATACCACTCTTCTAGAGTCATTCAATTATTCTATTGACTTAATTTTCATACCAAGAAACTTATCAAACCCAATAAATTTACAAAGAGAAAATGTAGGATAATTTCACATGCTATACAATAATATATATTGTGGAATATAAGCTACCCAACGTTCACATAGTGAAGATCTCATCATTAGATAAACATGCGCCGAGCTACCTGCGGGCTGGAGCAAAGACTATACCACTTCATCACAAGCACTAATTCAACAGGAGTCTACACTAGGATGATCTTATCTGCCATGAGCTTCTATGTTTCTTTCATCTTATTGCAACAACATGATCATGTACCATTTATTCTGTAGAACGTGCCATGTACGACAAGAATAATCTTATAAAAAATGTACTATCAACGTGTGAAACATGCAGCCAGCATGATGGAATAAGTATGCTTTTTTCCAACATATCTTCCTACGTCCACATTTTTACGTACATGATTATGTCTTTTTAAAACTAATAACACTTATTATAGGCAATTAACACAGTCCATATGGACAAATCGTATTGACAGGTGCGGCGTGCCGCTGCACGGGCTCTGCTAGTTTAAATTAGATCCCATGTTAACATATTTCGCTGATTTTTTTATGAAAAACCCAAAACCAGAAAAACAAATACCAAAAAACTAGTAAAAAGAACGAAAACCGAAAAAAACGAATAACGGAAAAAAGAAAGAAAAAACCGAAGCACACTTGCGTTTTTTCGCTTTATTTTTCTTTTTCAAGAGGCATAGTTGTACTTCTTGTGAAAGCACTTTTTTTAGAAGCATAGCTCGCAGAAGCAAATATGTGCTTCTAATGGAAGCACATTTTTTTCCTTTTCAAGGTTGTGCTTCTTGCGGAAATAAATCTACGCTTCCACTACAAATATGTGCTTCTTGACGAAGCACATTTTTCCCCATTCGATGTGCTTCTCATGGAAGCACAATTTTTATTTCCAAAAGAACTTTTTTTCTCAAAACCTAGGGATAACCACG